CTGTTTATGTCTTCGCCTTTTTCCTCCGATCGAGCCCTTTTTTTAATGAAAAAAAGAAGATTCAACGCCACATCTTAGGATTTGGAAGCACAGAACACGTTTGAATTTTTTAAGCATAATAGTTAACGGCCCCTGGTCTCCTCAACATCATGCCCAAACTGGGTCCTCGAAAATCTTCTGGCCTCTCCAGTCATTTTTTCTCGATTACGCATCGGACACACCTCCCTGACACACAAGTTTTAATACCTCCTTCTGGGAGATGAGAAACCGTTCTGTGTCGGATGCGACACAGATTTCACCATTAGACACATCTTAACAGAATGTCCAGACTTCAGAGAGACCCAAGGGAAGTATTAATTATTTTTTTTAAAATACAAGATATGTTCCTTGTTTTTGATCCCAGTAGAATTCTCTATTTTATAAAAAGCCATTGGTATTTACAGTAAATTGTAAATACTGTTGTTTTAATTTTAAGGAAATTGTCATTTTTAGATCGTTATTTTATCACAATTTTTTAAACATTTAAATCTGATCATTGACCTAAGCCAAGCCGTGCTATGAACTGTCACAGCGATTGCAACCAACTTGTGTACCGCACGCTCATATGACATTGCGCAGTTGCGAGCGCCGTAAAACTCTTACTAAACTAATCTACATGGTCTCCATCACAAATTTATGTTCCAAGATTCTGCTTTTTCCTTCACAAAACAAATCTTCATAATGCTATAAATAAAACAAATATCTTGTACCGGTACTTTTTAAATTCTATACGCCAGAGGCTCCCTTTGGCACAGCACCATGGGTGGAAATAGACGGAGAAGTTCATGCACAGTCCATGGCCATTGCTACATATTTTGCCAGGGAATTTGGTAAGAAATAAATACGTGTAATTATAATATTATTATGTTTGGTAAGAGAACTGAGTGCAAGTTTTCTAATTTCGTCGTCTCTAGTAACATATTATAATATTTGCATTTGTTTGTAATGTTAGTTTTTCGGTTTATTTGCCCGTTCTGTTTCTTTCCTCTAGTTGTTCCTGGTTTGTTTGTTTATTTGTTTTTAATAATAATATTAGAAGTAATGAGCAAACAATTCTGTAGGTTTAACGCCTTTTTTCACAGTATAAGCTTATTTCAGAAGTCACAGCATTCAAAGCCCATCACTGTTGGATTTGAGCCAAATATATGTTGGTGGAAATCCAAGAAAACCATCTCCAGAAACTCGTTTTAAGACCCCCCCCCACCCCCCACCCACCCCTCCCATCTGGGATTTGAACTTAGGTCATCCTCACCATAGCCCAGCATGATCCACCTGAGAGAACTCTCTAATTATACTGCGCATAGTGGATGGGTGTAACACACGTGACCTGAATCCACCAAAACAATGCCCTCGCGACTTTGAAACAAAAGTCAGAGAGACAAAGAACTAAATGTGGCAAATTTCCCAAACTAGCATGGTTGTGGGCAAATTAATAGATAAACAATTCACGCCTGTTGTTTCATTTTAACAGAAGATTTGCATCAATATTTTTGTGTCACATAATATTATAAGAAGTCTGCATAACCCACACGCCACACACTCATGGCATAAGACGAATAATTTGTATACAATTTTTGTTTGCTTTTTTTTAAAGGTTTCTACGGGAAGACTAACAGAGACGGCCTATTGATAGACCAGGTTCTAAACCTCATCCATGACTTCATAGAAGTATCGATAGTGGTGTATGATGAGCCAGATAAAGAGAAAAAGGTAAGCTCTACTCCAACATCATCATCATTTCCTTTTTATCCCTACACCAGGGTATAGGCCACGGACAAACACTTTGCACCTTTCTCTAACCTGGGCTACCCTCTTGATGTTATTCCATGTTTTCCCACTTTTCTGTACATCAATGTCTGTGATTCTTCTCCAGGTTCCACACGGTCTTCGCCCTAGACTTGAATTATTTTGAGATGAACATCAAACTCGGAGGTCCTGCCTCTTAACCTAATAGTCTTGATAGGGGTATTCAACCTATACCATTTCACCATTTTTGTAAATTATTGTCCTAGACTGGGCACTGTTATGACCGCCGCTGTTTGCGCTCCACAAAAACTTCCGCCGCGCTGATGCGCACCATGGGCGCCCAAATGAAGAGCAATAAACACCAGTCTTGCTGTGGTAGAGTGTGAGTGCAACCTTTCCTCCCATGCACTTCATTTGGTTCCAAATAGAATCAAATGGTGTTCTCCGTAGTGAACCGGAATAACGCGATAATGCACATTCTTGGATACCTTAATGCAAGTCTATTTCTTCTGCTATGATGTTGTATCCCTCTCAACCCAGGTTGGCCCTGATAGGCAGGTTTGGGAGCCAGCCTCTTAAATGAAAATGATCTAAATTATGTCAATGGAGGCTTAAAAAACACTTTTTTTTTTTAAACATTATATTTGCCTGAGGCACGTACATCAACTTTTACCTCGAAAAAGCAGCCGTGTACTTCATGGGCAGCCCCAGGGTCACACACACTGACTGACTGCTCAGGGCAACCAAAGTTTGGGGTTAATGTACTTCGAACATCAATGGGGTCAAGTGTTCAGTAAACGACGCCATATCTAATTTCACAAAAGAGGAAAGAATAAACCTCATAGGATCATTCGGTCAGTCGAACTGAAAACTGGTAAAATGTATACCCCCCCCCCCCCCCCCCAATACATAATACATACACCGAATAAATATGGCCTTCCTCGGCACCATTTCACACTCTCCCCGAATTCTGGTAAAGTATCAGAAAGAAAACAAAACGTGTTGGTCCAGCATGAGCTTAAGCGAGAGCAAACAGGTCCATGACAGATCTTAGGTAATGATAATGAATTATTGTACTCAAGTTGTGGGTTTCGTTAGAGCAGTCACATGATATTTATTTTTTTATAAAACCAACAGGCCCAGCGTCTTAAAGACTGTCAGAATAAATCCACACGTCTGTACTTTGGAGGATTCGAACAGATTCTGAAAAAGACTGGAACAGGTTACGTTGCTGGAAATCAGGTATGCTTAGTATAATAATATAAAACTGTTCTACATGTTTTCTTTATGTTGACAAAAACTGTTTTCTGAAAGCACTAGATCTATAATAAAGCCTACATAAAGAATAATGAGATTGAGCGAAGGTTGCTATTGCCGTTTAAAGGACCCTTAAACTGCCAATAGAAACAATTAAGCTATTCGCTAAAAGGGGTTTAAAGGAGTCCGCAAAAGTGGATAAGTCAAATTTATTGAGAATGTCTGGCTGGCTGAAGACATTTACAATCAATCAGTGATAAGCCTACCCTCGACCTCTCTGTCTCCATCTCTCTTTCAGTTTCTGCCTGACTTTCTGTCTCTGTCTGTCTCTCTGTCTACACATACATACTCTCTCTCTCTCTCTCTCTCTCTCTCTCTCTCTCTCTCTCTCTCTCTCTCTGAGACGCACACACACAAACACACACACACACACACACACACACACACACACACACACTCACAGAGAGAGAGAGAGAGAGACAGAGAGAGAGACAGAGACAGAGAGAGAGACAGACAGACAGACAGACAGACAGACAGACAGACAGACAGACACACAGACAGACACACAGACACACAGACAGACACACAGACAGACACACAGACAGACACACAGACAGACACACAGACAGACACACAGACAGACACACAGACAAACACACAGACACACAGAGACAGAGACAGAGATACAGACACACAACTGTGAACTTACAATATTGTCATCTATACACATTATATTTGTGAAAGTCCGTCACTTTGGTCGCCTAAGATTTCCGAACCACTTAGCTTTCAAATTTAACCAAATTAATGGTGGTTCAGAATCATTTAAAGGGTGCAGGGTTTCATTGACGAGCCTGAATCACTGTAGTTTAATTTTCAGTTTTTCATTAGTTTCGTTTAGATCTAATCTTTGGAATGTTCGTCTTTTAAGACGCCATTGTAAACAAGTGAGGTTTCCATTCACTAGCCGTGCGCACTGTTTCACACGTTTGAAATTCTTGAGTGCACAACCACGAAAGCGGAATAGAGAATCAATCTATACATCTAGTATATATTTGGCAACTTGGAAACGCATGTGTCACTTTTCTCTCAAGATGTATTGCTCCATGCCAGTTGAGTGTAAATAATATAGCAGGTCAATGACTTTCAGTTGATGTTAATGCACCGATCATTCCTTTCAACGAAAAGGGGGGGGGGGGGGGGGGCAGCTAGTTCATTATATATGTGCCCACACACCTACATGCACACGCATTTTTTCGTCTTTGCTTGAATAGCCAATGCCTTTCCTTTCTCTATGTGGGTGGTTGTCGGGTGCTCTAGTGCGGGTTGCTCCTTCGTTTCTATCAAATATGTATCGTTCTTACATCTCATTCTTTGTCTTTTGTAAGCCTGAGTTTGTGGTGTAGCGGTTAGGCGCTCTGCTGTCGCATGCAGGAGAACCGAGTTCGATTCCCGAGAGAGGAGAAAACTTTTATCGAGTATATCGGTCTTTCTGTTGGGATTGTGTATCCCTCTCAGCCCAGATTGGCCCTGAAAGTCACGGTCGGAAGTGTGCCATCTAAATGATGTCGATGGGGACGCAAAAACACCCAATTATTTTTTTAGCTCTCAAGTAACATTTTCAATCTTAGGCACTTATATGACCTATTTCCGTTGCATGTACCGTAAAAGCCTAACTAAAATAAAAACTCCTTTCTCTATCCCAGCATTCTTCACTGCCATTCCGTCCACAGATCAGTCTGGCTGACATCGCTATCTATGACGTTGTCACTGGTTGGATGAAGCCCTTCCTGGGACCAATTGACGAATTCCCGTTGTGCAAAGCCTTGTTGGAAAAGGTAGCTGCGAATGAGAAAATTAAGGCGTATATGGCAACCCGACCCTACAGCAGCGAAAAGGAATGGGGCGATCTACTCGTTTAGAGGGCGCTGGGAGCTAAGGGGTCAACTGACCCCCGCATGAGGCGGTGACCCCCTTCCACGACCAACCACGGTCGTGTAAAAACCAAACAAAACGTTTTGTTCACCCATTGACCATTTGGTACTCATCATGATTTCTATGCTGTCTCCTTCACTTCCGTTCTAGGACTTATTTCTCAGTATTATTGCACGCCGTTAGTTTGATTGACCTTTTCGAGAAAGGTCCCTGAAGCAAACAAGAAAAGAGAAAATAGTGGGAATTTGACCTTTTCAACTAGATTTGCCAATGCTTTGCTGCCCGGTTTTTTTATACCTAAATCGTAGCAAAACCGTCGTGTTTCTTAATATGTTTTAACGTAAACAGGTCAATCATAAATAAACAGCCTATCACTGTTTCTTTTCGTTTCATTGACAGGTTTAGTATTATTAACCCTCTGTCTTTTCTGCTACAATGCATATGTCAGTTGGTGCTTTTGGATGTGTTTATTTTGTTTTCTTTGTGGAGTCGATTTTTCGCCCACCTTGCTCCGTCAGTTTGGAACTCTCTTCCCCAACCCTTGAGACATACAACATCTGAGTCTAAATTTAAAAAATTAATGACATCCTTTTTAAGTCAGTAGATTCATGTTCAGTACAATGTTATGTAAATGTCTATGTATCCATTTATGTATTTTGTGAATTGCAGTGTATATATTATTTTATTCTCATTTCGTGACGATGTGTAATCGTGTGCGTGTGATAAGCAAGTAGATGTGTGTGTGTGTGTGTGTGTGTGTGTGTGTGTGTGTGTGTGTACGTGTGTGTGTGTGTGTGTGTGTGTGTGTGTGTGTGTGTGAGTGTGTTTGTGTGTGTTTGGCATACATGTGTGCGTGTTATGTGTTCGTGAGTGTGTATGCGTGTGTTTGTGTGTGTGTGTGTGTATGTATATGTGTGTGTGTTTGTGTGTATATGAGTGTGTGTGTGTGAGTGTGTGTGTGTGTGTCGCGTGCATGAATATTTTTCTTACATGCATTTATGTAAAGCGCCTAGAGCTGTGTTTACACGGGAGTGGGCGCTATAGAAATGATCTTCATTATTATTATTATTATTATTATTATTATTATTATTATTATTATTATTATTATTATTATGTTCTTGTGATAAGGCTACCGGAATCGGAATCGTGAGGTTGCGGGTTTGGGAGGTCCGAACCTCAGGCTCGACGTTATGTCCTTGGGAAAGGCACTTTACGCGAATTTGTCTAACTTCACTCAAATGTGAATGGGTACCTGGCCATAGACAGCGAAAGACCTTGCCAGTATATTAGTATTAGTGTTTTAGCGCCCATGAATGGCAGCTTGCACTGTTTGCTTGCAAGGAAGTTGAGACTGTTTTAGAATGCCAACCGGCCTTCTGGGGTATTAATATATTGTAAAGCGCTCAGAGCATACTGTTGCGCGGGAATTTGATCTGTACAAATGTTATCTATTATTATTTAATATTGTATTTTCTTTCAGTAAATAGTACTGACCAAAGGTCAAAAGCCTTTGTCATCGATCAAAGTGAAGTCACACCATAACTTCTCTGGCATTAATAACTAGTCACTGGTATCAGTATAGTTGGTATTGTGTTAGAAAGCATTAAGAAGCTTGACCATGTTGGAAATTCTGAGGCTGTTTCAATCACCGAACTCAAGCAATATTGGGCGTGGGTAGAACATACGGTCGCTTTTAAGGACAAGTGGGCAGTCCCGACAAATACTGTTCTGAGAAATCGAAAGCAAACTTTTTGCCCCTTGCTCAGTTTCATTAAAAAAAACAAGCAGAGTTTTCTCAAAACAAACCAAATATTCACACCAATGAAACCAAACTTCTCCTATAGGTAGGGCAATGCCCACTTTTGGTGTAGGTCAAGATTTCAGGAAACCCACGAAATCTGGGTTAGCCCGCTTGTCTTTAAAAGCGACCATATGGGTACAGCATGAGGATGTTGTGGCTATAAAGTGTAAGTTTTCATTTCGTTTTTATTACCTGTACATATAGAACCTATTTGTGTAAATAAAATGAATAATGTTCATTGCAAGCAAATAAATAACTGAAGAAAATAAAGATGCTTTTCGAAAGACATGTTTCCGAGTTCCCTGTTTAACTTGTGACCACATTACTAGAAATATTCAGGAGAAAATGCATTTAACAAATTACTTTTTTTTTTAGGAGGGAGGGGATCTCTTTTTTGTTGTTGTTGTTGTTGCTGCTGCTGTCGCTGCTGCATTCTTTGTGTGATATTATTTGATCTTAATTGGAGTATGGAAGAGTGCCTCTTCTGAATTAATTTCCTAAAATACAATGTATTTCTTGGACTGAGATACGCTTCCTAAATGCAGCTCGACTCTGTGATGTTTTTTTGGGGGGGGGGGGGGGGTTCAGAACCCTGGCAATTTTACTGGCTGTACTTATGACTTAGGCAAAAACCAAATTGGCATTGTACTGAACACTGGCGTCTGTGGTGTTGATGTTAGGCGCTTTGCCGTCACATACAGAAGACCCGAGTTTGATTCTCTTGTGTGGAGTACATATTTTTATCGACTATATCGGTCTTTCTGCTGGAACGTTGTATCCCTCTCAGTCCGTGTTGGCTCTGCCAGTCTGGATCTAAGCCCGCCTCCTAAATGATCTAAATTATATTGATAATTATGGGAACGTAAGATATAGGGTGATCAAAAAAACTTTTACCACAGCTTTTTTCTGCATATCTCGCTCAAAAATTGTTCCAGAGTGTTGTAATTTGGAACAGACGTTATTCATTCAAAGGGAATTTGTTAGGAGTAAACTTCATAATGATAAACTTTTTTTAAAAAACAAACACGGCTAAAAGAAAAACACCTATAAACGCAAAATGCACCAATTAGAAATTTTACAAGGAAAGTTATGAACCGATTCGTTTCCTTACTTGTCTTTTTAACATTTAATTTTTTTTATCCCTGTAATATTTAAACAGTATTGAATTTCTCGTATAGAATTTAAAAAACTAACGTTGTTATTTTAGAATTCTTAGAGCCAGTGCTCTACATGTCCTCCTTTGGATTCCAAACATTTTTGAAGCGTCATTCATGATGGCCGAACATAAGGACCCGCCAAACCATGAATGCTAAAAACCGCACACACTGTTAACTTTTCCTTAGACAGTGTCTTCTAAATGTGATAGAGGGTGGGTGGAGTGCCTAGTCGACAATATTTGTGGAGTTGACATATTCTTAAAGGTGAAAATGGACTTTGCACTGAACTAAATGTCACTGAGGAAATGTTTACGCTTTTCAAGACGACAGAGGAGCCTTGAACGCGTTGCCATCCTTTGATCCATTTCAGCCTCACGAACATGAAAATGATACTGTCATAGGCGAAAATCTACCTTGAGAAAGTGGACCATTAAGGTGCAGGGGAGTCCTAGCCGAAGACATTGTCAGCGGACAGACGTCTCATGGGACTCGACTACTGAATTCTGTAACCTGGTGGCATATAAAGGGGTGCGAAACGTTCGTTTTAGATCTGTAGTGGTCGTTTTGTTTAGGAGTTTTAAATTCTGATTCTCTCTATATATTTAAACTGACGGAACATCTCCACTCATGCCATTCTTGGATGGTTGGTTGAGAGGGGTTGTTTATGGGGGGGGGGGGGGGGTATTAAATGCAACAATCCTTTAACAACAACAAATTGGGGCTCCTGTGGCCTAGAGGCTAAAGCCCCATTTAGACGTACAGTTCGTTGATCGACAAACTGACAGTATATCCGACGGACGCTCGATCTAGGTCATAAGTAAACTTGCAGTTTGTCGACGAGAGAAGTTCTGTTTAGACGTGCAGTTTTTTATCCGTCCTTGGACTGTTGTAGCTAGATATCTAGATCAAAACATCAACAAAATGGCCAAACTAAATAAAACACACAAAAAAGAATTTAACTTAGTAATCCACTATTAAATTGCGTCCCCCGCGTGAATTTTTTACTAATTTTGGGTCGCTTATCACGAAAATCTTATCATTTTTTTTAATTTGACGAATATTTCGCAAATTTTTGGAATGCATTTTCAACTACGCCTGGGGCAACATCGAAGAAGCTGTTCCCTCGTCGTAACTCCTTCAGTTCGCCGGCCGCCAAATATCTGGCGTCGTCAGATATCTGGTGGTTGGACAGAGAACCCTTGGACATCGAGAGGATTGCTCGTTTCACCCTCAGTTTCCACGCGAAGTTGACATTATGCCGGCCATCCTCTCGATATCCTACAGTTCGTCGATCAACTAACTGTACGTCTAAATGGCGCTTTAGGTGTTCGCCTTTCATTCAATAGGTCCGGGGTTCGATTCTGGATAGCGACGGAGAAATTTCTTCTCCGAAATTTTCTCCTTTCCCGTCCTTTCCTGCTCCCTAGCAATGTTCTATCGTCTTGCTTTTGTCTCTGCTTTCGCCTCCACTTTCTGCCCCCACCCTCTCACCTTATTTGCCACCTCCTCTGGGCTCCTGACTCTTTCTGCAGCCTTTCTACTGCTACTCCTTGGCTCCTTCGTCCTTCTTACTGCTGTCTTTCAGCAAGACCCCTGATCTTATGGTAGGGAAGATCTACACCTAGCCTTCTCGGACAAGAGCGAAAAATCTCGGAGGTCCCATGAGCAAGTTGCCCAAGTTAAAGATCCCTTGGTGGTCCTAAAATCGATAAGAGTAGGCTTCAACCGCCACCGGGGCAAAATTCAAAATATCTACCAAACTGAAAATGTTTACGTTAATGTGTCCAGCGTGCTCATATTACTCATATGACCCTATGCAGTTGAGAGCGCCATAAAACACCTATCAAAGCAAAAACACACTTGGAGAGGAGTTCTACCCTCAAATCCCCCATTTCCGTATCCAGTAAGGTCTTATACTTCAGCAACATTCCACAATTAGGTTTACACTTTTTATTTTAATGATTTCTGCGTGCATTTAAAACAAAAGTTCCCAATTGCTCCCCATGACAAAAAGTTTTTTTGCTATTTATTATCTATCTATCTACCTGACTCCTATCTCCACCCCCTA